CAGGGCAGCCGCGGCAGGAGCAGCAGGTAGGGCCGCCCGAGGGCCGCGGGCCCCGCGCTGCGCCCGGCCCGGCCGCGGCTCCGCAGCTCACCCTTCCTCTCGCTGTTTTCAAGATCGCCCAAGAGGAAGAGCAAGTCCGGGCGGAGGAGCCGGTCCCCGCGGGGCAGGAGGAGCCGCAGCCCGCACCACGCCGCCGTCAAGGTGAAGCAGGTAAATCGCGTTGTCGGTAGCAGCGAGGCCCGGTCCTGCCCGCCGAGGCGTCGGCGGGGCCTTGCGCCCTCCCCGGCTCCGCTACGGCAGCTGTTCCTGCGAGACTCGGCCGTGCCAGGTACGAAAAACCACGTCCGCCTGGCAGGTATCCTCTTCTAGTCCCTGTGGCGCGGCATCTTAGGAAGAGCAGGGTCCTGGGGGTTTAATAGTTCCCGCTGCCCACCTCGGGCTGTGCCTTAAGTGCCCGGGTGCTCACACGTGTGCGTGAGCCCGGCCTTTGCCCCTGAGGCTGGCGGCCCCGCGAGCTTCTTCATCTGCCCGGAGCAGGTGATGCATCGCGCCCTTTCTTCATCTTGCTTTGTTCTGTGCAAATTGTAGGAATCTCAATAGTTTGGCCAGGAAATAAGCGTCTCTCGCTTTGTGTTAGATCTGCACGCAGCGCATCCAAGTACGCGTTTTCCGTGTGTCGGGTTGTGATTTTCTTAAAAGCTGAGGTAGGTTCACTCCTCTTTCATTCGAATTCTGAATACGTCAGTATAAGCGATTCTTCATTACAGGAGCGAGATGATCATTGTCGTAGAGGAAACGAGGAGCGAAAGCAGAGATACTCATCAGAACAAGAACACAGGAGAGACAGAAGTGGTGACAGAGATAGACACAGAGACCACTCAGACAGAAGGAAGAATCCAAACGAAAGGCCTGGAGTTCGAGGCCACGAGCGAGAGAGGGATGTTCAGAACATCCGTGAGCAGCAAGCGGAGAGGGAGTTCTATAACGAGAGAAGACGAGAGCATCGACAAAATAACGAAGGCAGTGGTGTTGACCAGAATCCAGAACTCAGGCAATCTGAGAACAAACCTAAAGAAAAAGCTGCTGTAAACAAAGAGAAGCCAAGCTTTGAACTGTCTGGTGCGCTTCTAGAGGATACCAACACTTTCCGAGGTGTTGTGATTAAGTACAGCGAGCCCCCCGAAGCTCGGATTCCGAAGAAGCGATGGCGCCTCTATCCTTTCAAAAACGATGAGTTTCTCCCGGTCATGTACATTCACAGGCAAAGTGCTTATCTCCTGGGCAGGCACCGCAGAATCGCAGATATTCCTATTGACCACCCCTCCTGCTCAAAGCAGCATGCTGTCTTTCAGTACCGGTGAGTATTACTCTGCCTGCTGGTGAAACAGGATTATTCAGGAGCTTCTGAAGGAAAAACCAACCAAACAAAACCTGGATATGTGCAGTTGAGCGGTACGAGTTTGCTGTAAGTACGTTAGAGAGAGATGGAATTTGTGTTTGATGGCTGTATATCATCCTAGCAGTAATCAAAAAGATCTGTAATTCCTCTCATTTAACCACAAGCAGCCTTTTAGTAAGACAAATAACACAGCAGGGTTAAACACGGAACTGTGCGTGTATCTGAACTGGAATAAACCGGCAGGTGTAATTGGCAGTAAAAGTGTTTCAGGGAGAGGTTTTTTTTCATTTGGTCTTTCACAACAAAGTCTGCTGATCTCCTCTGAAGCAGCAGGGGTTGCCTGCTGCTGAAGACAAAGATGCTCTCTTAGGGAACAGCCATCTGTTCTGCTGTAGGAATTACTGTGTTATAGCATCGGAAGTTTTAGAAGGTGACGCGGTCTGTCAGAATCCGCTCAGTCTCACACAGTCTCTCATTGCTCTCTCCAGACTTGTTCAGATCTCTGCAAGCACAGATAAGTATTACCTGCGCTGGGGCTCCTGCGTTGGAAAACCCATCTGCTTTCGGAGTACGTTTTCTGTCTTTCGCTGTTGTGATTGAAACGGTGTTTTTTGTTTTGCTAGGCTCGTGGAGTACACTCGTGCCGATGGTACCATTGGCCGCAGAGTACGGCCCTACATCATCGACCTGGGCTCTGGGAACGGCACTTTTCTAAATAACCAGCGGATTGAACCTCAGCGTTATTACGAACTAAAGGAAAAGGATGTACTGAAGTTTGGGTTCAGTAGCAGGGAATATGTTCTTCTCCATGAATCTTCAGATAAATCTGAGGCCAACACAAAGGACGATGATGAGGAGGAGGAGGAGAAGGAGGAAGAGTCTGACAGTTAACAGATGAGGAGGAAATTGGGGGGGAGCAGGGGAGAGAAATTCTTTGCAGTTGAATATGCATTGGGATGTAAAGATTGGAGCATCGCAGCACTGATGCCTCGTATTGCCTTAAAGTCCTTTTTCTGTTGCTGATCAGTTCTCGTAGTTTATTTGGGGGGACTTCACTGATTATTCATCTTTGATAGTTCTGCATATCAGGAAATACAGCTTGCTTTTTTTTCGCCTTTTTTCCCCCTGACAAGCAAAAGAGCACCTGAAGGTGAAAGCTCTGATGCTGGAAATATTCAACAAATGTTGAAAGACTGTCCTCTTCTAGGAAAGGATGTAAAACACAGCTGGCATAATTAAAATGACTTTTATTAATTGTTTTGTTGTAGCCCTTTGAAAATGCTACTTCACTGAAATATTAGTTAGAAAGTAACCCGATGCATTTTGTAACATGTCTTGTTTGGTAGAGTTTGCCAAATTCCTTTGCCTGTTAGGAGTCCAGACAGGAGAATTTACCAGGCTCGCTGTGAAAAAGGCAGAAATGTTGCAGAGCCTCTTGGATTTGTATATTCTGGGGAGCTGCTTTGCCGGGTGATCGCTTTCAGGGACGGGCATTTCACTGGAACACACCACCTGAAAACTGCAAGGTAACTTGAAATGGAATTTAAACGCTTCCTGGGATTTTAGGTGAGGCTGCTGTGATTCGGGGGCTGAGGTCTGGGTCGGGGTCTGCCCGGTACGCGTTCCAACGTACGATGCTGAAACTGTTCCTGGATGTTGAGTGTCTGGGTCTGAAGCTGGGGCCTTTATTTCTGATACCACCCCTGCCCCGGGAACAGCTTCTCCTTGGTTTTGTTTCTATTACGCAGAAGTACCTCTTATGTGGTGACGTTTTTTAACCAGAGTTTGCACTATTTAAGTTTTCTTTTTATAAAAAGTTACACAAGTCACTTGTTCAAAATGGCCTTCTCCCCCGTAAAACAAAACAATGCTTTAGGAAGAGAAAAAACAAGTCCGCTCGCTGAAAGTACTCGCGTCTTGCGTATTTTTGGATGTCTTCTCCCCACTGCTTTATGGTATAAGAAATGTATATTTTCCACACTGTTTACTAATTAGCCTGGATGTTTGTTCTGTGGTCACAAGCTATTCATACCTGCTGTGTATATACTTTGTGTATACAAGTGCTGCATACTGTATACACAGGCTGGAACATTTATGATGTAAATATGGGGCATTGACGTAGGTTTTCAAACGGTAGGTAGAATGAGTTTTGACTAGGAGGATCTCCTTTATATATACTCTAGGGGTTTTTAAATAAAGAATTTGTAAATTTAGCCCTCATTACCTTTAGTTGTAATGTTTTTCTCGTGTCCCTTTTTTTTTCCTTTACGTTCCTTGAAATAGACGAACTTTCAGTGCTCATTTCGGTATTAAGGACACCAAATAAGTTTAAAAAAAAAAAAAAAATTGCGTGATTTGTGTACTTGGGAGGCTGTGACTGTGGAGGGTTTGTACCGCAGCCCTCTGCCCGGGCCTTTCTTACCCGAGTGTGGGCCAGGTGGCTTCTTCTGTGCCCAGGCCGTTTGCCCCCGACGCAGACAGGTTCGCACTCGGAAATACGAAATTGCTGTGTGGTTTGAGCCAGAGGTGATCTGCCCCGTGAAGGGGCGAACTAAGCCCCTCCAGTCTCACTTATCGCAGAGCGTTTAGACTAACATAATTTAAAAGACGCTAGAACATAGCTTAAAAAAAAGTTTTAATCAAACATACGCAAAGTTGAAATGACCTATTTTGAATGTGGTTTTGTTGTTTTTTTTTCCCCACAAACATGGAGCACGGAGATGGGATAATTACGGCTGTGATGAAAAAGGGAGACCCTGTCTTGCCTCAGCGAGCCTCTCGTTCTGGTTTTGTGCCCGTCCCTCTGTGCTGCCAGCTGTGAGACCCCTCCTTGGCTGCTCTCTGGCCATGTCCTGCTGGTCCTTGGGCTGGAGGCACAAAAGCAGGAGTGGAATTCCCCAAAAGCGGCACAACGGGCTGTGGCCCGAGCGCACCCGCCGTCCCCAGCACTGGGGAAGGGGTGGTGGGACTGGGGGTCCCTGCTGGCGGTGGGCTGAGGCCGGGGGGGTGAAAACTGAAGCCACCCCAGCCCAGCAGCCATGCAGCGCCTGAAGCGAGGCCTTCGGGATTTGTTGCCTTATTGTCAGCGCCAAGTTTCCTCATCTCGGTGCTGCCGATACCGGGGCTCCTGGCCCGCTGGTGTGGCGGGCTCGCCCTGCGTGGCCAGAGCAGGGCAGCGAGGCTGGGGCAGGGGCTGGAGCACAAGGCTGGGGAGGAGCGGCTGGGGGAGCTGGGGGGGCTCAGCCTGG